ATTTGTTATTGTAAGTATGCACATCAAGATACTTATATATATGGAGAGAGATGTTTATACAATGTTGACAGAGACGGTAATGACGAGATCCATGATGGAACGACGGAGGCTTTCAAAGAATTATTGCTTACATCCCTGTTACAATACAATCACATCACGATTCTAGATTGATTGGGAACAAATTAAGTTTTGAGAAGGGCAGTTACGCCAAAGAGGAAGAGAGATATTAAAAGCTTACAATGTGTAGAGACTCGACAAGTTGGTTAAATTTGGAAGAGTACCTGTAAATATGTTGTTGGACAAGTACCTGAAATGGATTCAACTACAAACTCTATTACCTCTTTTCATTTATATCTACAAAACACATGGATAACAAAATTTTAGTTGCTCACTTACAATTCGTGGAGATTTGTGAGTTCATTGAGACTCGAAGGAATATCTCCACTTAGTGTATTCCTATCAAGGCGTCTGGAACAAAGAAAGATGAGATTAAATAAAGTTGTGATAAATGAAGATTTTCAAAAACCTCTTTTTACTACTTACAACACTTCCAACGTTATAACGTCGCTGAGGCTTTTCGGTATTTTGCCTGTGAACTTGTTTCCATCAAATAACCTGTTGATAAACAACAAACAAATGTAATTACTTCGCTTGTTACTAATCTCAACTTTTGTAAACTCTTTAGCTTTCACATGTACTTTAAAACTTACACATGTATCAAAGTCATTTTAGAGCTAAAGAGCTTTTCAGGGATTTCGCCTGAAAGCTTGTTATTTCCAAAATGACTGCATGAGAAAGTGAAGAATAGTTAAAGACTAATTAGTATCTTACAAAGAGTGATTATATAAAAAGAAATGTAAAGATTTGGGAGTATATGTACATACAAATGCTGAGCTTGAAGAAGCATGTCAAGTCCATATGAAGAAGTCCCACTTGAAACTGGAATCTCTCCTTCGATCTGATTGTCAGCTATATCGAGCCAATCTAGATTTGACAACCGTCCAATGGAAGCCGGAATTGTTCCTCTAAATTTATTTAAATTCAATGTGCTATATGGAGAAAACACAAATTAATACTAATGGGTTTAGAAACTGTTTATAAAAGTAGGAATCAACAAAATCTTACAGTCTTGTAAGTTGTTCTAGATCTCCTATGGACTCAGGGATTTGACCACTGAAATCACATCCCATTAGGTTTCTGGACAAAAAAAGTTGGTTGAAATAAGCAATGAGACAGGCAGTTTCAAGTGGGTCATATGATCTTGTCCTGGTATCTTACAAGATGGTCAACTTCTTGAGTTCACCAATATTTGGTGGAAGCGGTCCAGTCAATTTTGGATTGGCTGTCAAATCCCTACAAAAAATGGATCTTAAGATGATAACAAAATCTATTTCTATGTAAAAGTAAGAAGAAGAAAAACCTACAAGATCTGCAATTCAGACAATAAAGAAATACTTGAAGAAAGCGTTCCTTGCACGTTAAGGTTGGCTAATGATCTACAACAAGCAACAAACACAACATTAAATTTCTGGAGAGGATTATTGGAAGAAACAGCCAAAAAAGAAACAAGTTGGTACATTTCAACAACGCGGCTATTGTTACAGAAAATTCCAACCCAGGTTCTACAAGGGTCAGAGCCTTTCCAACTCTTAGGAGACCTCGTAAATTTCTTCTTCAGTTTAAGTAATGACGTAGCTGCACCAGTTTAGAAACTTATTCATTATTCAAAGATTTTTGAAATTTCTATATCTGAAAAACTCTGATGATCATCATCTAATTATACTTACTATCTCCACTATTTGTGAGCCCAGAACCAGAACAACATTGAAAGAAATGTAAGATCAGGAGCATAAAGACTACAATTCTTGAACTCATCTTCAGACCCACATAGAATATATTTTCTCTTTTTCTGTTTCTGATTGTATCATACAAAACTACTCAAAAAGAAAGCATGCGGCTGAACAAGTTATGAGGAATTCTAGAATATAAATTATAGCCTCCTCGCTAACAAAACATGTAGACAATAATGTTAGAGAAGACTTTGAACAGTTTAAGTGAATGTATATTAAAATAGAAATAGACAATGGACCAGTTTCTATCCAGTTAAGAAATCGGATAGAAACTAAAAACATTAGATCATCTCAAGAAAGAGAGTTCGTGGATTAGAGTCGTGGTAAGCGACTATGTACTGATATTTCTTTTTTACTTTTAAACTGTAACATGGAATAAAGTTATAGTCGTGGAAAAAATCAGCACTAGCATTAACCAACTTGAAATAATAATACTAATTGTAGCAATGATAATAAGGATAATGGTTTGATGATATATTGATCAACAGGACTCAATGTAATCCCTAATTTTTGGAAATATAATGGGTATAATTTAAAAAAGAAAAAAATTGGCAACTGCACTTTTCTTTTTTATCAATGATTCTAAGACCATCTTTATCAATGGGTTCTTAAGAAAATCTTAAGATGATCTTAGTAATTTTTTAGTATTATTACTAAGAACCAAAGTTAAGATTTACCTCTTTTTGGCTCTTAGGTAAGCAACTCCCTCAACTCATCTTAACTTTGGCTCTTAGTAATAATACTAAAAAATTACTAAGATCATCTTAAGATTTTCTTAAGAACCCATTGATAAAGATGGTCTAATGTAATTCCTGAGTTAAAAATGTTTGAATTAAAATAATTTTAGGATAGGTAGCCTACCTGAAAAGATTCTCAGTACAATGTAAATGAGGTCAAAATATAAAAAACATTTTGTAGTGATTTTTGAAGAAACAAAAAACAAATTTTTTAAGCCTTTCGACACAGCACACCGACTGTTGGACGAGGATAGGATTCACAAGCCTAAAAAAGGCTTGGAGGCCACATATGATGGCAATAGGGGTGTTATAAGTGGTATCAAAGCCGAAATCAAACGAATGTAGAGTCGTGAGAGATCACATTGTCGGGGTGACAATTTTGGTACGCAATGAGCACATTGCGTTCTGTGAATGGGCGGATCATTGTATTAACCAACTTGAAATAATAATATTAACTGTAGCATTGATAATAAGGATAATGGTTTGATGATATATTGATCAACAGGGCTTAATGTAACCCCTAATTTCTGGAAATCTATATTAGTATTTTTGAAGTATATTTTTAGCGGGTGGATTAAATTGTTATCCGACAAATTTAGTATCCGACCCGATAAAAAATTTCTTTCATAAATGTTACACCGGATAGTTCATATCTTTATTGGATTGGGTCCAAACATATCCGAAATTATGAACCGGATATTCCATATTTAAAATATAGATATTTAGAATATTTAGTTAAAATTTAGAAATACAATTTTCCTATCATCTTTTTTTTTAACATTTTTTAACTGTTTTTTTTTTAAATTGTCATATAATACATAAATTTTTTTTTAAAAAATGTCAATTTTTTTTCTGCTTATATTGGAATTCAGAATTTTTAAAACGGATATATATTACCCAATTGATGAAAAATGTGTGTGTTCAACGTCCCATATCGGCTAAAATGTTTAGATATTCATTCAGAATCATATTATAAATTAGATCAAAATAAATCCAAATCCGAATGAACAAGAAGCTCAACTTATTAAGCATCCAAATTTAAAATTATATATCGTTTCATTCGATTTTTTAGTTTAACTGCTTAATTTTACCAGAAATATTAAATTTTAAACTTTTAAAAAGTTTTAAATAATATAATTCATATTTTTAAAATTAATAAAAAGTTTATAATATTATGAACATTTGAACATATATAAAGAGTTACAATAACACGAGACGGGTTATATTGGTAGACAAGGTTATATAACGGGGCGAGTTTTTAAGAAGTTTTAAATATTATAATTTATATATTTAAAATTAATAAAAAGTTTATAATATAAGAACATTTGAACATATATAAAGAGTTAAAATAACATGGGACCGTTATATTGCAGGACGAGGTTATATTGCACGACGGAGTTATATTGCAATATGGGGGTTATATTGCAGGACGGGGTTATATGACGGGACGAGTTTGAATCAAAAAATTTAAAACATGATTAACCCGCTGCTTCAATATGGCTAAATCTTCGTTTTATTACTTTTTAACACTACCAATATTAGACATATCGAATGATCCTCATTAAAGTAAATTGTATAAAACAAAAATCGTCTTGTGGTATACCGTTACTTGATAACAATTGTAAACTATAAAATATAAATGTCTTAATAACATGATACAATTTGCAAAAAAATTTATATTATATATAACCATTAAATTTAAAAAATCACTGATTTAGAAAATAAATCGTCTTGCGGTGTACCGTGGGTTAAAATCTAGTATAATGGTATAAGTAGAACGTTTTAAAAGAAAAACAAATTGGCTACTGCACTTTTCATTTTTTATCAATGATTCTAATGTAATTCCTAAGTTAAAAATGTTTGAACTAAAATAATTTTAGGATAGGTAGCCTACTTGAAAAAGATTCTCAGTACAATGTAAATGAGGTCAAAATATTAAAAAAAAAACATTTTGAGGTGATTTTTGAACAGACAAAAACAAACTTTTTAAGCCTTTCGACACAACACACCGACTGTTGGACGAGGATAGGATTCACAAGTCTAAAAAAGGCTTGGAGGCCACATATGATGACAGTAGGGGTGTTATAAGTTGTATCAAAGCCGAAATCAAACGAATGTAGAGTCGTGAGAGATCACATTGTCGGGTGACAATTTTGGTATGCAATGAACACATTGCGTTCTGTGAATAGGCTTATCATTGTAACATCTTAATTTCTGGCAATATGATTGTGCATGAAGATTACTTAAAATAATTGATTTGACTACCTAAATAAACAAAAAATAAATTATTCCTTTTATCGGTGTGCAAAAACTTTAAACCTCAAATATAAAAAACGTAAAGAATATAAGGATATATGATAATGAAGGACTATGTAGTTCCGAGGATAAAGGTGGTTTTAGGTTCTCAATTTGGTGTCATTCCTCTTCTTTATAAGGAGCGATACATATACAACAAATCAAATCATAGGACTATACGAGTCATTCACAAGGCAGTCCAAGTATGAAGTCACTTAACAACAATAACAAAACAAAACAAAAAAAATAGTTGGACGAAATCAATCATTTGGGCTTGAAGCTGGGAAATCCGCTCTGTATTCAAATGAGTCCTTCCTTGCCATAAGGATCACCAGATCCTTTGCTTGCATCCTCGTATGTTCTCGAACTCGTTGCAGAATCAATGTTAGGGTTTAATCCTGCAAGTTGCATTATGTTTTCAATCTCTTTCACAACCTCACCCATAGATGGTCTATTTATTCCTTCCTCCTCCACACATCTGAAAGCCAAGTCTACATACTTCTCGAAACCTTTCAGATTCCCACTACTTGCAATGATCTTCGTGTCCAACAATTCTTGCAGGTCATACAAACTCTTCGATTTATCCATCTTCATCTTCACCTCTCTCACCACATATTTGCCGTTCTCTATAGGACTTTTACCGGTTAACAGCTCAAACATCACCACACCAAACCCATACACATCGCTCTTCTCCGTCAATTGATTGGTCATGTAGTACTCAGGATCAAGGTACCCCTAGTTCCAGAGAAATGATAAGTTCAAATGTATCTAAGAAAGAAAGATAGGAGGATGATTTATTCTCTACTCACCAATGTTCCTTTCACTTGTGTTGTCACATGAACTTTTTCAGGGTCTCCCACAAGTTTGGAAAGACCGAAGTCCGCAACCTTTGCAGTTAGACTTTCATTAAGTAATATGTTATTTGATTTTATATCTCTGTGTATAATTGGAGGATCAGCATTTTCATGAAGATAAGCCAAACCTTTGCTAGAACCAAGTATTATTCTAAGCCTTGTTGTCCAATCTAGTGTAATTCCACTCTTCCCTATACATTATCATTATCAAATTAAGTAACCAAAAACTATTAGAATTCCTCAAAAGGAAGATAAAGTTTTGAGTATTACCTGATAGGCTGTCAGTAAGAGAGCCATTTGGGATGTACTCGTATACGAGCATTTGTTCAGTTTTATCAAAGCAGAAGCCCAAAAGTTTGACAACATTCTTATGATGAACTCTAGAAAGAAGTTCAATCTCAGTTTTAAACTCCAACTCTCCTTGCGAAGATCCTTGTTGAGCTCTTTTGATTGCTATGAGTTCTCCAGAGGGAAGAACTCCTTTGTACACCTGTTACACCATCACATTATATTGGGATCAAAATTCAACTAATGCCATTTCTTATTTTAGTTCAGACGATTGCAAAGACACACATACCTGGCCATAACCTCCACCCCCAACATCATTTGCTTTTGAAAAGTTGTCAGTGCATTTCTTAAGCTCGTCAAAAGTAAACGCTTTTGCTCCCATTAGCTGTGGAGCATCGATATTGCTCTTACTCTTATTCCACTTAGCTGCAACATACAAAAGATAACTTAGTTGTCAAAAAATTTCATGAGACAATAGAAGAGTCTTTTAAAGTAGTAAAACCATTTCTACCTACCAAAAGGATTATTTCGACCGGCTGCTCTATCTGCTCTATTCCTCTGTCTAAGAGCGTAAATCCCAGCTATTGTTAACAACAACAAAAGAACCGCACCACCAACCGCTGCTCCGATGATAATGCCTTTGTTTGCTGACATGGAACCTCCTACATATGTTGCAACAAGAATAAGCATAGTAAATTTATGGAACTAATTTTTGATCCGGTTTTATTGTGTGAGTGACCGGTTTCATCATACCAGAGAATGGACTATATTGATCAGCTTTGAAAATGTAAGGGCCAAATATTGGAGGTTGCTTATACGTATGCGTGCTAAAAGCGGATATAACACTATCCATTCCCGTCACATTAAAAGTCTCTTTCTCCGATGGAAAGACCAAAAGATCTATTAGAAGATGATGATCAGTTGGATTCTCTCTTATGTTTCTGATGACTACAGAGTCCACTGGATAACTTGGATTCTTAAAAAATTCGTCTAGCCCCTGATGGAGCGTGTTAAAGTTGGTATCGTTGGTATACCCTGAGAAAGAAGGAGACCTGAAGGTAAGTATTCCTGTGACTGGATACACACAGCGACACGCTGGACTTGGCTCCTTGCCCTGACCACATCGAGGACAATTTATTTGAGGGGCAGAAAATGAGGTGTTGTGTTGGATTGCATTGCAGTATTCACTCAGCCGGTTCGCCGGGTCTTGGCACACAGGATTATCTGCCAACCTGGGGATATATGAACACACATATGTAATTGAATTAAAAAGTAAAAAAAAATTGGTTTGTGACTCATAATACATACATTACTTGAATGCGTTTATTAGCTGATGGTTTATAATCAGTTATGTAGTTGTATTGTAAATCCACAAACTCCAACTGGTTGCTATAGATGGTACCAAAGTCCAATGTTGCGTTTATCTGATTGCGTTTTAGGACACTGCAAGTCAATATACGAGATCCCAATTAGTATAGATTTCACAACTTTGAGTTGATTTCTAATTTCATTTCTTGGTTTACTTACACAGTCTGTAATTGAGTAGGGCTGAAGAGGAAGATTGGTATTGGACCTTCAAGTTGAATCGCTTCCATCCTTCTGCGAAGAGGAAGACAATTTGTTCTTACTTCTTAGTAAGTATACACACAAGAATTCATATATTTTGAGTGAGAAGTTCATACAATGTTGCCAAGGACCGTAATGAGGAGATCCATGATGGGACAAGCGAGAACTGCAATTGGTTATTGCTCACATCTCTGTTACCAAACAATCACATCGTAACATTAGATTAATTAATAGTTAAGGTTTCTAATGATAATTTGATCAACAAAACAAGAGAGGAAAATATAGAAACTCACAATGTGTAGAGACTTGTCAAGCTGGTTAAATTTGGAAGACTGCCTGTAAATCTGTTATTGGCCAAGTACCTGAAATGGAATCAAATTTAAAAAAATAAACATTTTTATCTCATTTTATTTATTTTCTACTAACACAGAACAAAACTTTACTTGGTCACTTACAGTTCTTGAAGGATTGTGAGATTATTAAGACTTGAAGGAATATCTCCAGTTAATTTATTCCTATCAAGTCGTCTATAACAAAGAAAAACATATTAGATTAGAGAAGTGAGGATATATAAACAATTTGTAAAATCTTTTACTACTTACAACACTGTCAGCGTCTTAACGAGGCTGAGACTGTCCGGTATCTTTCCTGTGAATTGGTTTCCATCAAATAACCTATCGATAAAACAACAAACAATGCGATCACTTATTTAGTTACTACTCTTAACTTGTGCAAACTCTCAGCTTTCATATGTACTATGAAACTTACACATGTAGCAAAGTCATGTTTGAGCTGAAGAGTTTTTCTGGGATATCACCGGAAAGCTTGTTATTTCCAAAATGACTGCAAGAGAAAGTGAAAGAGAGTCAGATTAGTTAGTATACTAAAAAAATATCTTACATAAAAGAAGCCGAAAGATTTAGGAATATATACAAATGCTTAGTTTGAAGAAGCATGTCAAGTCCAGGTGAAGAAGTCCCATTAGAAACCGGAAGCGCTCCTTCGATCTGATTATCAGCTATATCGAACCAAAACAGTTTCGATAACCGTCCAATGGAAGCCGGAATTGTTCCAATAAATTTATTTGAATTTAGGGAGCTGTATGGAGAAAAACATAAATTATTACTAATGGGTCTAGAGAATGTTTGTAATAACATAAAGCAACAAAATCTTACAGGGTTGTAAGTTGTTCCAAAGATCCTATGGACTCAGGGATTTGACCACTGAAACCACATCCCATAAGGTTCCTGGAGAAGAAAAAATGTCAGTCAAAAAGGAAATATATAAAACAAGGCGATTGCAAATGTGTCATGATCTTGTTTGCTTTGCTTACAAGGTAGTCAACTTCTTGAGGTTACCGATATTTGATGGAAGCGGTCCAGTCAAATTAGGATTAGATGTTAAATCCCTACACACATTGGGTCATAAGATGAGAAAGAGATCGACATCTATTTAGAGGGAGAATAGAAAGACATACAAGATCTGCAATTCAGACAATGCCGTAATATCGGCAGAAAGCTTTCCTTCCAAGTAAGCGTTGCCTAATGATCTGCAACAAACAACAACATAACGTTAGTAAATGTCTGCATAGGAAGAAGGAGCAAACAAAGATAAACAAACAAGTAGTTACATTGAAACAATGCGGTCATTGCTACATGTAATTCCAACCCAATTGGTTCCACAAGGATCAGAGCCTTCCCAATTCTTAGGAAACTTTGTCCATTCACTCTTCAAAGCTTGTAAAGCCATAGCTGCACCAATTTTGAAACTCATTCAGAGATTTTGATATTTTTATATGTGAAAAACTTTGATAATCATCTGACTATACTTACCGTCTGGACCATTTGTGAGCCCGAAAACAGAGAAAATTTGGAAGAAAAGCAAAATAAGGAGCATGTATACTCTATTTTTTGAACTCATCTTCACAACCACAAAGAATAGTTTTTCTCTTTCTCTGTTTCTAATTGTATCACAAAATCATGCAAGAAGAGAGCAGGTGGCTTGCACAAGTTATAACGAATTCTAGAATAAAAATTAAAGGCCTCCTTGCTAACAGAACATGTAGACTACTGTTAACAAAAAGGAGAAGACTTAATTTGAGCAATTGAAGTGACATATATTATATAAAGTAAGAAATAGACAGTGGACCATATAATAACTTGAAACAGCTGATAAAAAAATAACAAAGGTTTCAAAAGGGTTATTTATATGGAATGTCAATGGGGGTAATGGGATAGAACAAACTTTAAACACACGACTTAATCGATACAGATTGTGACTACTCTATTATATTGGCCTAAACATTTAATTGATAACACGACTTAATCGATCTACTCCGATACAAACAAAATTTAAATAATCGATCGGAGTTAGCATATCTTAATGTGACTAAAAGGAATTGGTTCTTTCTATATCAAAAAAAAAAAAAGAACAAAACAAATATGAATGTTCCCCAAGCCGGAAAAAAAAATCTAAGGCCTTGAATGGAACCAGTTTTTGGACCAGTTTTTAGATTATGATTTTGCAAAAATCTAAAAATTAACCATTCATGATTCAACAAAAAATAGATTTCCTATAAAAATAGGGAAACCAGTTTTTAGCAGATTTTAGCTATTTGTTCATGGAATCCAAAAACCAACTTTTGTGGGTTTTTCCAACAATTTACATCACATTTTTTTTTTCAATTCTTTTTTTATTATTCAAATTTTTATTTTCAATATTTTAGTAATTTTTAAACACAAAATATAACCAAAAATTAAAATATATAACTTAAAAACGTTTAAAAATTAATATTATGTAGAAAAACTAAAAACTAAACAAATTACCATTCAAGATTTTGCAAAAACTAAAATCTACACTAAAAATCAAAAACCAAAAAAATCAAAAAACCAAAAACCAAAATCCAAAAACTAGAATCTAAAAACCAACAAAAAACTACCAAACATTCATGGCCTAAATATGAATTGATTTGAAAAATATGCAACGGAATTAATTCCGAAGTGAACATTTTTATTATACTGTTTGCAAATTGATTAATAATTTAATAGTAAATCGTTAACAACCAACATGGACTATATACGAATAGAGAAAGATGATCCATTTTGCGGATTTGTGCACTTGGGGATACCAGTAGAGACACGACAACCAGAGTGCTAAGACAATCTCAAAGAGAGTATATTCAAATTTCTTGCTTAGATTTATTTAGTATCGTCATGACAACTTAGGGTTGATGTTAGGTTGCAATCCAAAAGGCTTGCTTCTCTTTTGTTTATAGATTCCGATCTTGCTTACACTTTATAAGCAGTGACCACAAAACAACATATATCAAAATCAAATCATGCTAGTACACACATTCACAAGGCAATTTAAGTTGTAAAGTCACTTACAAAATAACCAAAAAAAAACAGAGAAAGAAGAAATATATCAATCATTGCATTAGGGTTTTGGAGCTGGGAAAATCCCAGTGTACTCAAACGAATCCCTACCGTAAGGATCACCAGATGCTTCCTCATATGTTGCTGAATCGGCATTAGGGTTTAATCCCACAAGCCGCAATACGCTCTCAATTTCTTGCACCACCTCACTCATTGTTGGCCTATCAACTCCCTCTGGCTCCACGCATCTCAGAGCCACATCTACATACTTCTCGAACCCTTTCAGATTCCCGCTGTTTGCGATAATCGTCGTGTCCAGCAGTTCTTGCAGGTCATACAAGTTCCTTGATTTATCCATCTTCTTCTTTACCTCTTTCACAACGTAGCTGCCTCTATCTATCGGACTTTTACCGGTTAATAGCTCAAGCATCACCACACCAAACCCATACACATCGCTCTTCTCCGTCAACTGATTCGTCATGTAGTACTCAGGATCAAGATAACCCTAATTCCAGAGATATTGTGAGTTTTTGTAATTAATAGGTTTCATATATTTAATGATAGGTTCTTTTTTACTCACCATTGTTCCTTTCACTTGTGTTGTGACATGAGCTTTTTCAGGGTCCCCCACAAGTTTGGACAGACCGAAATCGGCAACCTTGGCGGTTAGATCTTCGTCAAGTAATATGTTATTTGATTTGACGTCTCTGTGTATAATTGGAGGATCAGCAAGCTCATGAAGATAAGCTAGACCCTTCCCTGAGCCAAGTGCTATTTTGAGCCTTCTTGTCCAATCCAGTTTAATCCCATTCTTCCCTACATTTGTTTTCAGGTTCAGCACCAAAGAACTAACAAAGCAAGATAGAGATTTGATATTTACCTGATAGACCGTCTCTAAGAGACCCATTCGGTATGTACTCGTATACGAGCATTTGTTCTTTTTGATCAAAACAGAATCCCAAGAGCTTGACAACATTTTTGTGATGGACCCTTGAAAGAAGCTCAATCTCGGTTTTAAACTCGAAAGCTCCTTGCATGGATCCTTGTTGAGCTCTTTTGATTGCTATGACTTGCCCAGAGGGAAGGGTCCCTTTGTACACCTATTTCACCATCAAATTGGTATTATAATTTTTACTACTACCATTGGTTATCAGTTGATGACATTGCAAATACACAAACCTGGCCATAACCTCCACCTCCAATATCATTTGCATCTGCAAAGTTGTTTGTACATTTGCTCAGCTCTTCGAAGGTAAAGGCTTTTGTTCCCATTAGCTGTGGAGCATCGATTTCATTCTTACTCGTATCCCACTTGGCTAAAACGAACAAACGAGAAGTTGTCAGGATTTTCATTAGACAAGAGAAAGTATTTTGTTGTAGTGTTGAACCATTGTTTCTTACCAAAAGGATTAATTTGATCATTTGCTTTCTCAGCTCTCCTCTTCTGCCTAAGAGCGTAAATCCCAGCCATAGCCAACAACAACAGTAGAACTACAACACCAACTACTGTTCCAATTATAACGCTCATACTTACTGACTTGGAAGGTCCTATATATGTGAAATAAACAGGGCAGGGAAAATGAGTCATACTAAACCAATATAGATTTGGTTTAAGTGTGTGTTACCAGTTTCCATCATACCAGAGTATTGGCCGTACGTATCAGCGATGAAAATATACGGGCCAAATCTTTCGGGAGGCTTATAAGTCTGCATGCTAAATGCAGATAGAACACTATACATCCCTGTCTCATTAAAGCGTTTTTCGCCCAATGGAAAGATCAAGATATTTATTAAAAGATGATAATCAGTTGGATTCTCGCTTATGTTTCTAATGGCCACGGAGTCCACTGGATATTTGCCATCCTTAAAGAAATCCGTTAAGTTCTTCTCGAACTTTATGAAGTTACTGTTGTTGGAAAACCCTGAGAAGGAAGGTGACCTTAAGGTGAATACACCTGTAAGTGGATACGCACATTGGCAGGCTCGATTTCGTTCCCTGCCTTTACTACAACGAAGACAGTTCGTTGGGAGGGTAGAAAATGTGGAATTTGGTTGGACTGCATTGCAGTAGTCAGTCAGCCGGTTAGCCGCATCTTCGCACACTCGGTTATCTGCCAACCTGTGTATATATCAAACAACACACATAAGAGATTCATAAAAAATGTTAAAAATTGATTTGTGACCAAGATAAATACATACATTACTTTGATGTTGTCATTAGCTACTGATTTGTAACCAGTTATTTCGTTGTTTCGTAAATCCACAAACTCCAACTGCTTACTATAGTTGGTACCAAGGTCCAATGTTGTGTTTATAAGATTGCGCTTTAGGAAACTGCAAGCCAAGAAAAACACATCCTCGTCACTACAGATTTCACAACACTTCCCAATTAAACTATCATGTATCTGACTCACACTGTCTGCAACTGTATAGGGCTAAAGAGGGATGTTGGTACTGGACCGTCAAGTTGGATAGCTTCCATCCTTCTGCCAAGTAGAAGACCATTTGTTCATATTAAGCATACACACAAATATCTATATATAGATATCTAAAGAGAGAGATGAATGCTCATACAATGTTGCAAGAGAGCTTAATGAATCGATCCATGATGGAACAGGCGATAATGTCAACGGATTATTGCTCACATCTCTGTTAGAGAATAATCACATCATGGCATTAGATTAATTATTAATGAAGGTTTCTGATGCTAAATTGAGCAACAAAAGAGGAAGAAAAATATAGAAACTTACAATGTGTAGAGACTGGTCAAGCTAGTTAAATTTGGTAGACTACCCGTAAACTTATTGTCCGCCAAGTGCCTGAAAAGGATTCAACTACAAACTCTTTTACCTCTTTCCACTTATATCTACAAACACATACAAGTCTCTAGTTGCTCACTTACAGTTCTTGAAGATTTATTAGATTATTAAGACTTGAAGGAATTTCTCCACGTAGTCTATTCCTATCAAGGCGCCTATAACAAAGAAAACAGTAAATGAGATTTTTGTTTTGACAAATCTCCTGTCAAGAAGTTTAGCAAACTAAACAATTTGAAAAATCTTTGTTTACTACATACAACACTGAGAGCGATTTAACAAGACCAAGGTTGTCGGGGATTTTGCCTGAGAATTTGTTACCATCGAATAGCCTATCGATAAAACAACAAACAATGCAATCACTTTGTTAGTTAATAATCTCAACTTGTGTGAACTCTCAGTTTTCACATGTACTATAAAACTTACACATGTTTTAGCAAAGTCATGTTTGAGCTAAAGAGTGATTCTGGGATTTCCCCTGAAAGCTTATTATTTCCAAAATGACTACAATAGAAAGTAAAGGGGAGTCAGACTAATTAGTATATTAAAAAGTATGATTATATTAAGGAATGAAAATAAATTTAGGAATATATATACAAATGCCCAGTTTGAAGAAGCATGTCAAGCCCAGGTGAAGAAGCACTAGAAACTGGAAGCTCTCCTTCGATCTGATTGTCCGCTATATCAAACCAATATAGTTTCGATAACCGTCCAATGGAAGCCGGAATTGTTCCAGTAAACTGATTTAAATTCAGGGAGCTGTATGGAGGAAGCAGAAATTAGTTTTTAATGGATTTAGAGACTGCCATTGAAAAAAAAAAGACTGTTTATAACAATAATAGATAGCAACAAAATCTTACAGATATGTAAGTTCTGTTAGACCTCCTATGGACGCAGGGATTTGACCAGTGAAACCACATCCCATAAGGTTCCTAGAGAAATAAATAGTCCACTATAATAGGCGATATATAAGACAAGGCGATCACAAATATGTTATGATCTTGTTTGCTTTGCTTACAAGTAGGTCAACTTCTTGAGGTTACCGATATCTTGTGGAAGCGGTCCAGACAATTTAGGATTTGCTGTCAATTCCCTACAAACATCGGATCATAAGATGAGAACAAAATCCATTTCTATGCAAAGGAAGAAGAAGAAGAAGAAAGACCTACAAGATCTGCAATTCAAACAACTTCGAAATTTCTGGAGGAAGCTTTCCTTCCAAGTTAAGGTTGCTTAGTGATCTGCAACAAGAAACAAGAACCCAACGTTAAAGTCTGTAGATGATTATACTAAAGAAAGAAAGAAAAAACAGAGAAAACAAACAATTCTTTACATTGAAACAACGCGGTCATTGCTACATGCAATTCCAACCCAATTATTATTGGTTTCACAAGGATCAGAGCCTTTCCATCTTTTTGATAACGTAGGCCATTCTCTCTTCATGGCTTGTATAACAGAAACTGCACCGATATTGTAAGAAAAAAAGTTCAAAAAATTTGAAATTTCTACATCTGATCATCATTAACATATAATTTTAACTTACAATCTGAACCATCTGTGATCGCATAAACAGAACAAATTTGGAAGAAAAGCAAGACCAGGAGCTTAAATACTCCAATTCTTGAACTCATCTTGAGACACACAATGATTGTATCACAAATCGTTCAAGAAGAAAGCATGTGGTGTACACAAGTTATAACGAACTTAAGAATAAAAATACAGCCTCCATGTTCTTGCTAACAAAGCATGTAGACAATAAGGAGAAGACTTTGAACAAGTTAAGTGAAAATTTATTAATAAAGCAAACAAATAGACAGTGGACCATATAAACAAATAGTTCAACTTGACATAGATAATACTGCTATATATTGCGGAAAGGTTCAATCTTCAAAGGTGTTATCCAATGGACAAATGGAAATGTCAATAGGGTAATGTGGAGGAACAAATTATGAACAAGGACTTGGCACAAAACACCATTAATCTGTTTACATCATAAAGGATAAATATATAATATGTAACAAAACTTAACTAAATTATCTAATATTTAATTGTTTCCGCACAAAACTAGGAGAAGTCATGTTGATATTATTTGTTTTCCTAGAACGTTTCTTCTTAAGAAAAGAGAGATTTCTGAAATAGAGTAATGGTGAGCGACTATGCAGTGATATAGTTTTTTAACAGCAACATGCAATAAAGTCATGGTCATGGAAAAAATCAGCACAAGCTTTTATCAACTTGAGATAATTATACTAATTGCAACAACAATAAATGATGCTGATGGTTTGATGATATATTGACCAGTACTTCTTCCCAAATAAACTATAATATTCTTCTTCTTCTTTTTTTTTTCATTGTAACCCAAATTGATTATAAATTAATCGATTAGTTTTGTGAAATTATTGGGGGCGATTTTGCATCTCTTTATTAAACAGTTAAGACACAATCTCTAAACTCCCAGAAAAATAGTCCTTCGTTCAGAGTTTGGAGATAGTTTGAATCATCATGGGAATAGTGTTTGGCAGACAACCTGTCTTCCAAGGGATGTGACTTTATTGCATGTTGCTAGCACTCAAAAGCTAGTCACACCACCACCTGCTAGGCCACCAAACCGACGGAAAACTCAGAGATGGAAACTGCTAGGTTACCATCTATACCGCTACGGGATCACTAGATTGCTCCGTTTTCATCAAATCCGGGCTTGATTGTTCCTTTTTTAGTAATGTTGATTGATATTTGATCTTTCTTTTAAGATCCATTTGACTAATAATCATTTTATTTTCATCATCATCATTAATGTTGGTTTAAAAGAGTATTTAACATTTTATATGACATTAGTAATTTTTTCAAAAGCCATATAAGTTTTTTTAAGTTTATCCCACTTCTTACTAATGTGTTGGGTATTAAATTTCGGCATGAAATAATAAATGTGTGCATTTAGAAAATTTATTTCTAAAATTTTATCATTTCTTTTAAATAAATATTTTATTATTAATAATGGATTTTAAGTTCCTACCAAAAAAAATAATGGATTTTTTTATTGCAATCTTTGGTTATTAAAAATCAATGAATGATATATATTATTTTATTTCTAGAGTTATTTATTCATTTATTTATCAATTTTTGTTTTTTTTTTCTAAATTCTTATCATTAAGAAAACTTTATTTGCATATGAATTCATTTCTAACATAATTTGTATTTATTATTAATATATAACTAGATAACAACCCGCACGATGTGCGGGATGAAGTGATTCAAGTAAAATTATTATGATTAAAATTATTATCCGGGATCCAAGATCAGTTTGTGTAAAACGAAACATGTTACAAATTTTTTTTTTGTTTTATTCAAATTTGGGACTATTTCATATAAGAATATGTTACCCGTGAAATATTTGAACTTTGAATAAAGCTTCAACGTGATAAAAAAGTATTGACGAAATGTTACCATTTATGGCAATATGTCTTTCCGTATGTTTTAAAGATTTCGAGATTTTGTAGTATAAAAAGAAATTTTTTTTTTTAATAAGTATAAGAAATCCAAAATTTAACAAAGATGAGATTTGATAGTTTCCAAGCTAAGATTTTGTAGTATTTCAAATCTAAGATTCTTAGATTATGAATGGATTATTTACGAAATGGTTATAATGTGGCTAGATTTTGGTTTATATACAAATGTGGTTATAATGTTTTTGTTCGAAAAGTTAGAACTCCTCCAAAAATAGGATTTTAAGTATTCATAACATATATAGAAAAGAGATTATCTTATTTATTTAAGTAAAAAATTTATGAAAGATGTAAAGATTTTGTAGTTTTGAATTCGAGATTCTTGAACCAAATGTATATATTTTATCATTTAAATATAAACATAAATATAAATAAAAATAAAAAGATTGTTTACCCATCCGCTAAAGAAAATTTATATAAATGTTTATAAAGAAAAATATAAATATAAAAATATAGTAATATAAGATAACAAAAAGTGTATGTTTTTAATTATTAATGGGATATATGGATGTATGAGACTAATGGTAAATTCTGTAAATAGTCTAATAAATCTTGGGTAGTTATCTAAATAGAAGCCAAATCATTGTGAGAGCGACACATCAGCGTGGCAATCTTGTTAATAACACATGATGATAAGGTTTTTTTAAAAAAATGTTTCTCTATTAATATATAGGGGATAATAATAATAAATAACAGTCACAGCTTCTACATTTTTGTGCTACCAATCAAATTTTAACAGCCAAAGTTTCTACAGCCAAAGTCTTTACAGCCAAATTCTCTGCAGCTCAAAATTTTAAAGTCAAAGCTTCTAAAACCAAAACTTACAGTCGTTACCAATCGGAAGTTATTTTACAAATTTAAAACTCGTATAATTCTATTTGTATTTTCTAAGTCAGTCTAAAGATTCAGTTTACATAAAGAATCTAGTATGTTTCTATTCAACCTTTTGATTATTTTGTAGTTTATTAACATTTACCCATGCATAAATGTGAAAGTATTGGACTCTAACCGTGGAACACCCTCTCCCCAGAGATTAGTCTTGGCCCCACATTTGTGTGATGTGCGGATTAAATCTTTGAAACCACCTCGAAACAAGAATTAATATATTCATACATTGATCTTACTTCTCTTATGTTTGAAATCTGGTGTCTACATTGCCGAAGATATGGTCGTTTTTGATTATGAGTTTGGCTCTCCAATCCTCTGCTTTTATAATCAGAGACCACATAACAACATATCAAATCATGCTAGTACACATTCACAAGGCATTTCAAGTGAAGTCACTTACGAAATAACAAAAACAAAAAAGGAAGACATAATCAATCATTGGGGCTCAAGCTTTGAAGCTGGGAAATTCCCACTGTACTGAAAAGATTCACTGCCATAAGGATCACCAGATCCTTTGATTGCGTCTTCATACGTTCTTGAACTCGTTGCTGAATCCGAGTTAGGATTTAAACCCGCAAGCTGCATTATGTTCTCAATCTCTTTCACAACCTCACCCATTGATGGCCTATTAACTCCTTCCTCCTCCACACATCTCAAAGCCAAGTCTACATACTTCTCAAACCCTTTCAGATTCCCACTGCTTGCTATGATCGTTGTGTCCAACAATTCTTGTAGGTCATACAAATTCCTCGATGTATTCATCTTTGTCTTCACCTCTCTCACCACATATTTGCCTCTCTCTATAGGACTTCTACCGGTTAATAGCTCCAGCATCACCACACCAAACCCATACACATCGCTCTTCTCCGTTAATTGATTCGTCATGTAATACTCAGGATCCAAGTAGCCCTGATTCCATAAAATTGTTAATTAAAATGTATCTCAGAAAGAGATAAAGGGGCATCATAGTTATCTACTCACCATGGTTCCTTTGACTTGTGTTGTCACATGAGTTTTCTCAGGGTCTCCCACAAGTTTGGAGAGGCCAAAATCAGCAACTTTTGCAGTTAGATTTTCATCAAGTAAGATGTTATTTGATTTGATGTCTCTATGTATAATTGGAGGATCAGCAAGTTCATGAAGATAAGCCAAGCCTTTGCCTGAACCAAGTGCTATTTTAAGCCTTCTTGTCCAATCTAATCGAATTCCACTCTTCCCTGCATTACTAACAAATTCAGCATCCAATAACTATCAAAAATCCTCAGATGAAGATAGAAGTTTGATCTTACCTGACAAACTATCTTTAAGAGACCCATTTGAAATGTACTCGTATACGAGCATTTGTTCATTTCGATCAAAGCAGAAGCCTAAGAGTCTGACAACATTCTTATGATGGACCCTTGAAAGAAGCTCAATCTCAGTTTTGAACTCCAACCCTCCTTGCAAAGATCCTTGTTGAGCCCTTTTGATTGCTATGAGTTGTCCATTGGGAAGAATTCCTCTGTACACCTGTTTCACCATCAAATTTGAGACCATAATTCAACTAAGGACATTGCTTCATTCAATTGAGGGCATTTGTTAAGACACAAACCTTGCCATAACCTCCACCCCCAACATCATTTGCCTCTGAAAAGTTGTCTGTACATTTCTTTAGCTCATCAAAAGTAAACGCTTTTGCTCCCATTAGCTGTGGAGCATCGATACTACTCTTACTCGTATCCCACTTGGCTGCAACATCCAAAAGAAAATTTGTCATGCTATTTCAGTCAAGGGAGAATATTTTGTAGTAGTAAAGTTTTTCTTCTTACCAAAAGGATTATTTTGACCAGTTGCTCTCTCTGCTCTCTTCTTCTGCCTAAGAGCGTAAATCCCAGCTATTGTTAACAACAGTAGAAGAACAACAGCACCAACTACTGCTCCGATGAGAATGCTTTTGTTTGATGACTTTGATGAACCTTCTACACCTGTGGCAAAAAAAAGGCAGAGCAAATGAGTTATCTAGAACCAACTTTAGGTCCAGTTTGATTGTGTGTGTGACAAGTTTCATCATACCAGAGAACTGTTTATACAAATCGGCTTTGAAAATGTAAGGGCCAAATATCGGAGGAGGCTTATAACTCTGGTTGCTAAATGCAAAACCAACAAGTGACATTCCTGTCTGGTTAAAACTCTCTCTGCCCAATGGAAAGACCAATAGATCTATTAGAAGTTGATGATCAGTTGGATTCTCTCTTATGTTTCGGACACCCACGGAGTCTACAGGATAATTAAACTTCTTAAAGAAATCCGCGATTGCCTTTTGTAGAATTGAGAAGTTAGTGGAGTTGAACAACCCTGAGAAGGAAGGAGACCGGAAGTAGAGTGTTCCCGTGAATGGATACGCACAGCTGCATGTAGGACTCGCTTCCATGCCCTTATCACAGGGAGGACAGTTTGTTGGGAGTGTAGAAAATGAGGTATTGTGTTGGATTGCTGAGCAGTAACTCGGCCCGTTTCCTGCCTCTAGGCACACTGGATTATTTGCCAATCTATAGATATAACAACAAACATAAGCAATTGGTTGAAAAAATAAGTCATTTTGATTAGTAACAAGGATACATACATTACTTGGAGGACTTTATTAGCTGATGGTTTATAATCAGTTATTTCATTGAATTGTAAATCCACAAACTCCAACTGGCTGCTAAAGTCTGTACCAAAGTCTAAAGTTTCCACTATACTATTGCGCTTTAGGATACTGCAAGTCAAAAAAAGGCACCAAATCAGTACAGAGTTGTGAACTCTTGAGTTAATTTTTAGCTTCATGTATTTTTTTTACTCACACAGTCTGCAACTGAGGAGGGCTGAAAAATGATATTGGTATTGAACCATTAAGTTGGATCCCTTCCATCCTTCTGCGAAGAAGATAACCATTTGTTCTTAGCAAGTATACAATGGAGATAAATGGAGAACAAGACAGAGACAAAGACAGAGATGTTCATACAATGTTGATAGGGAGGGTAATGAAGAGATCCATGATGGAATGGGTGAGAAATCCAAAGTGTTATTGCTCACATCACTGTTACATTACAACCACATCATGGGATTAGATTGATAAAGAATGAAGGTTTGAGATTGGTAGTGATGGTAAATAGAGCTGGTCAAAAAGGAAGAGAATATATAGAAAACTTACAATGTGTAGAGACTGGTCAAGCTGGTTAAATTTGGAAGAGTACCAGTAAATCTGTTGTTGGCCAAGTACCTGAAATGTATTCAACTACAAACTCTTTTACCTCATTTTCATTTATTTTCTACAAACATAGAACATATCTTTAGTTGCTCACTTACAGTTCGTTAAGATTTGTGAGATTATTAAGATTTGAAGGAATATCTCCAATTAGTTTGTTCCTATCAAGTCGTCTAGAACCAAGAAAGAGCACATGAGAATTATAGACGTTAAGAATAATAAAATTTTGAACTATATATTAATACTTACAACACCGTCAACGTTTTAACGAGACTGAGGGTCTCTGGAATTTCGCCCGTGAATTGGTTTCCATCGAAGAGCCTATCGATAAAACAACGAACAATGTAGTCAGTCACTTTGTTAGTTACTTACTCATAACTTATGAAAACTCTCAGCATTATAAGTAATATGAAGCTTACACATGTATCAAAGTCATGTTTGAGCTGAAAAGTTCTTTCGGGATCTTCCCCGAGAGCTTGTTTTTTCCAAAATGACTACAAGAGAAAGCGAAGGAGAGTAAGATTAATTAGTATAGAGGAGTGATTATAATAAACGAAATGGAAAGATTTTGGATTATATATACAAATGCTTAGTTTGAAGAAGCATGTCAAGTCCAGGTGAAGAAGTCCCATTAGAAACTGGAAGCTCTCCTTCGATCTGATTGTCTGCTATATCAAACCAATACAGTTTTGATAACTGGCCAATTGAAGCTGGAATTGTTCCACTAAATTGATTTAAATTTAGGGAGCTGTATGGAGGAAACACAAATTAATACTAATGGGTTTAGAGAATGAGAGTGAATAAGATATTGTTTCTAATAACAGGAAGCAACAAAATCTTACAGATATATAAGTTCTTTTAGCATTCCAATGGACTCAGGGATTTGACCACTGAAACTACATCCCACAAGGATCCTGAAGAGTAAAAAGAGTTAGTTAAAACAAGAGATACATAAATTGTACTAGAGATCTAATGATAATGCGTTTCCTTACAAGTTCCTCAACTTCCCAAGGTTACCGATATTTGGTGGAAGCGGTCCGGATAATTTAGGATTGTAAGACAAATCCCTACAAAGATTGGATAATAAGATGAAAACAAACAAAAAACCATTTTTCTGTGAAAGGAAAAATTTAAAGAAGAAGAAAGACATACAAGATCCGCAACTCGGACAAGAACGAAATATCGGGCTGAAGCTTTCCTTCCAAGTTAAGGTTGCCTAGTGATCTGCAACAAGCAACAACACAACGTTAAAGTCTGCATAGCATTATTGGAAGAAGCAGCAACAATAAAAAAAAAAGCTCTTACATTGAAACAACGCGGTTATTTTGACATGTAATTCCAACCCAATTGGTTCCACAAGGATCAGAGCCTTCCCAACCATCAGGAGGACTGGTCCATTCATCCTTCAGAGCCTTTAAAGCAGAATCTGCACCAATATTGAAGATTAGGAAAAACTCTGTTCATCATCTATATGCTTGTATATGTATATACTTACAGTCGAAACTATCTGTAAGCGCAGATACAGAACAAATATGGAAGAAAAGCAAGATCAGGAGCATAAAAGCTCCAGTTCTTGAACTCATCTTCAAACCAACAAAGAACCTCTAATCACTTCCTCTGTTTTCTGATTCTATCTCAAAAATGATCTAAGAGAAAAAGCATGTGCTCTACACAAAGGTTTGACGAATCTCTTAATAAAAATTACAACCTCACTTTCAAAAACATGTAAGACAATAATGTTAACAAAAAGGAGAAGAAGACTTTGAACAAATCGAGTTAAAAAAATGTATAATCAAAAGAAGAAGATAGGGGAATGGACCATAAGAAAAAAACTTGGTCAACTTGAGACAGCTGATAATGGGATTTAAAGGTTTTTCAATTGGGAAGAGTTGTTAAATGGAAATGTCAATAGAGTAATGGGAAGGAACAAATTATGAAACAATACATTAAAGTATACATATGAGTTGTCGTGATGCGAAACTAGTGTAGGACCCTTATTTATCTACTGTATTAATTACACTCATTATTGACAAAAAAAATATCTATAAACTTCAAAAACATAAGAATAAGATATGATTTTTTTTTTTTTTTTTTTTTTTTTTTTTTTTTTTTTTTTAATAAGATATGATTTGGTTTGCCTAAAAACTTTGATCTTAGAAAACGAGACTTGTGGAATAGAGTCGTGGTCATCGACTATGCAGTGATATGTTTTTTTTTTTAACTAACCAACATTGAATAAAGTCATAGTCGTTGCTTCGTTGGAAAAATGAGCACAAGCAATTTACCAACTTGATAAACTAATACTGATTACAACAATGATGATGATTTGATGAAATATTGACCAGAATTTCCAAATTAATTATATAATAATCGAGTGGGTATGCAGAACATATATAAATAAATGTGATGGCCACCACAGCTATGAGAAGAAGATGTGTAACTAATTGTTTTGTGTCTAGCTTACAAGGACCAAACCTTTAAATTTGGCTATTGATGAACTTAATTACCAAAGGGGAGACTAAGAGAGTACAAGTAGCAAGGACAACAAGAACAACAAGAAGTGGAGAGACATCATAGCAGTGTTGTAGTGGTAGGATCAAGCTATTTGATGTATGTCAACATAATGTTTTGTCGATCAAATTGATAGTGGATGAAAATGTTAGTGTCCACAGGCTACACTCGTGCAATGACGTGTGTTTAGGGGATACATATATACACTCAAATACTCTACGTGTTAACTACGTGAATTTTAAGGCTTTAAATGGATGTTACAGGTAAAGCGGACTAAAACATTTTACTTTTGGGGCAGACAACAATTTACCGCATACCAAATTTATTTCTATGTAAAAGTGGTATGTAGTTGGTCTGTTGCGGATTTTTTTTTTTCTGTTCACATCACTATGGACTACAATTTCTGAATAATAAACGATAAGAGATCCAAATCCCATCCGCCACGAACACTAGAAACCTAAGGTGCACCTCACCACTCACATTTGTTAGAGTTGCAATTTGTGTATTTAATAATCAGTTTGGATATAGATTGTTCTAGCGATTTTTAGATTTATTACTAAGAGTAAAAGAAATACCTTTTTGGAATTTTCTATGATAATAATATTAGTGACGCTTGGGACGAAACTAATATTACATGATGTGGTTTCGGGTCTGGGAAAATTACGGGGTTTGGTCCAGAACCTTCTGATATTCAAAAAAAATAATAATAAATAAATAAATAAATAATCTCAACAACTTCAAAAATATTCAACAAAACTGGTGGAAAACTCTGAATAACTTATTAAACATGTCTTTTGCTTGCAACTCCTAAATTCTGTTATTGCTGAAATTACAAAGTTCTGATGCAACAGTAACATCAATTAAATTGTATAAAGCTAATCAAATTATATGGCTAGTAGTGAAATGACTAGCCTTAAGAACTTGGTACCTGCATTTTAAAGCTACTCTGGATGACTGGATGGTAAATTCTTCAGACCAGGATCTGTTTGGGTTGCAAAAAAGTATCATACTTCGATTTGAAACAGAGACATCTGTTCTACTCTGAAACCTGAGTCTCTGGAGGATCGTAGTAACCTGGAATCTTCATTCCGGTTATCTAAAATTAGAGTTGGTTAACTTCCAGAGTGTATCCAACTATTCCGTGAATTGCAGATTATGGCTTCTTTGTTTCCGATTAACCGGAATCCTATATCTAATATTGAGATCACAGCAACCGTACATCATTTCCGTCGTCGTCCAAAATTGTTTCGCTCCCTCGTCCCTTCTCCCAATTGTATGGGCCTGTTGGGCTTTTTGTTTACTTTAATTTGCTTGGGTCTCTTGGGTTTCCTTAAGTTTTGTTTCCAATTTAAAATATTTCTTTTTCTACCAGGATCGCTGATAGTCATCAAATTTTAGAAATGCCAAAGCGAACAAGCCAAGCCTTAATTGGGTTCTCTTCTTCCCACTGTTTAACTTTGTAGAAACATAATCCAAACAATGCAATTGTACCAACTGCTGAAATCACTTTCTTCCTATGGCTCCAAGCCATATCAACACCTGCAGAACAAAACAAAACAAAGAAAGCTGAAACAAGCCAAACCTAAGCTATAATAAAAATGTTAAACTATAAACAGATTCACTCACATTTTGCAAAACAACTTCTCTTATCAAGAGTGTCCACATAGTCCAAAAGCAGAGAAGTTAGATATAGGGTTCTGATATCAGCAAGGACATTGGAATAGTTAATGAAGTAATTGCAATTCGGATCCGGACAGATGATGAGTGTACTTGTGTTCAACTGATTAGACACTGCACCTGAAAAAAGAACAACTAAAAATATTAATTTAAAGCCGACTAAACAAATAAACATTAATAAATCTATTACCTGGAATGCAATCATTGCAAATAGAGTGTCCACAGTTAAACTCCCAACAAATAAGAGATACGTTGCAAACACAATACTCCCTTTTTTGATTCAAAGAATTAAAAGCAACATGGGCACATTGCACAAGCAAAGGCTCCAACCTCATTAGCGAATTATAATCTTCAACCAAGGCAGACATATTCCATCCGTACCTCACTAGCAAAATAATTGCTGTAGATGGCATAATGCCTCAGGCATTAGAAGTCTCACGTACAAGAGAAGCAAAAGAATTTCTCACAAACTGCATAAACAAAAAAAAAAAGGAAATGATCAGTAATTAAAGAAACATTCAAGAACTAAGAATAAGTTCATTAATGCATAAGCAATAGGCCATCAAAAAATGGCAACATATTATCATAAACACAGGAGAACCAATGATTATTGGCAAGATTTGATTTTTAATGGATTCCGGTGCACCACATGCATGCTAAATGACTATATAATCCTCTCTCTTTTGCTTAACTTTGGTAGTCCATTAATGTTTGCATTTTCTAGTGAGAAATTCATTGAACTTACTAAATTTCATTTTTCAACGAATTTTCTGTATATTTCAAAAAAATCAACATATTTGGTAAGTCCAAAATTTTAGGATTTAGGTTTTCGTAAAAACAAATTCTGTACAATCAAATAAATACTAGATACTAAAAAAAAAAGCGATCGTTTGGAATGGGTGCAAAATAAATTAGTACTAAAAACTTGCAAACAAAGAAAGTACAAAATTTAAGGAGAGTTAGATGACCCAACCCCGCAAACTCATATCAATGTCTGGAGAGAATAGTAGAATATCGTCAATGTAGACAAGCGCATTTGGAAGGATTGGTTCAAATATCTTCATCATGGCTTTCTGGAATAGTGAAGGTGCAATCTTCAATCTGAAAGGCATGACCTTTTAGAGGTATTGTCGATCATGAAAGCCCGTTTAAAGTCATGACAGTACCAACGATTAAAGTCGTTTGGATTGTTATGATGCAGGCATGCTAGTATTCTCTGTAACTGGTGTCGAGAAAAAATCAAGTTATTTTAGAAGGTTTAGAAAATTTAGGCCAATTATTATAAAAATGAATTAATTTTGGGCCAATTTATAAATGATTTTGGCTAATGGATTTCAGAAATTTTTTTGGAGTCGAAGCAATTGTTTTACTAGGCTTTGCCCATGACCGGCTCTGTGGGTCGCCACCATCATACAATCTTCTTATAAATATTGTGATTCCGATAAACAAACCTCTTCGATTTGTTTATCCATTTCTCATATATTTTTTATTTCGGAGAGCAACTAGTGGTGGATTTGAGCGTATTTATTTGTTTTTGGTGACAAATATATGAAAGAGTTGGTGTTAGCTTGTCTCTTTTAGTAGTCTCGGTGGTTTATACTTTATGTATCGTGGTGATCTCATACTCTTATCTATTCGATTACGTCATATATTCTTTTCAGGAGTAGACAACTCACAACATGCATAATTTGGTGTCTAACATGTCATACACTCATACTACGATCTTTATTTTTTTTTTGGTTTAACGTTAAATTCCTACGATCTTTATCTCATTCTCTTTGTTACCATTCCTTCTGCATGCATGCATTAGATTTTGTTGTTGTTATCGGCTTATGATTTCATGTAGGCCAGTCATGGGAGCTTCTACGTTGCCATCCCTTTTGGAGACCGCATAAGCTCCTTGGAACAAGTCTTCTTTTGAATTTATTAAAACCTTTAGGAGATGGACCATCATGTATTCATGTTCATCATTTATGTTTTCTTTATCAGGTTTGAACTATTGGTGTTGTCTTATTTTGGTTTTAAGATGTTTTTTTTTTTACAGTAAAGCTTTATAAGTAGGAAAGCGAAAAGCTTTTATTTATTAGCTTCTGCATTTTTTTTTTTTTCTAGGGCTGATTAGAAAAAGAAATATAATATTTTTTAAAAAATATGTGTACACATGCAACGTCATGCTATTTAATTACGTAAAAAAGTTAGTACATATAACTTGTCAATTTCTTAATGCCCTTATAACATGCAACCCCTCTTTCGTCGAGGAAGATCATCATCATCTATGGACTATGGTGGCTTCCTCTTTGAAATGAACACTACTGAAGGTTGTAATGTGTATGATTTTTGTGGTTTCGGTTCTTTTCCTTATGATGTACCTTGGCAAACTTGGCAATCAAACATATCAACAAATTTTAAATTCATCACCATTGACTCTTCCAAACCAAAAGAACAGAAAAAATATCTAAACAGCTCAAGAAGGATCACAAAAACATTCTAATTTCATTAACTCGTTTTCTGATTTCATGTTAAAAAAATGAGCCACAATATAAAGAGGAAATTCAATTAAAAACAAGAAAAAGTACAAAACACACACAATAATTAGGAAAAGACAAAAACAGTCTTCAACATGCATGAATTAATGAGAAATTACTCATAAATGTAATCTTGGTGAGAACCGAAAACAAACTTGAATAAATATTTAAACATGAATTAAGACATAATAAATATTTCCAATGAGGATATTTGGATGTCCTTGTAAGTGAAAACTTACATAAACCCCAAGATCTTTAAACATCTGAGTTAATCACTTAATAGATATATAAAGAGGGTTAGCAGAATACCTCCTTTCATTGCAGCGGAAAAGTCTTCCTGAACGGTTTCCTGAATGGAAGACGGAAGCTTTAAACTTAAGGTCGGAGTCTCGGTTTCTCTCCCCTGGCCTACAAACGTTTTCTCTAAGTGTTGCAGATTTTTTGGAACTACCTTTATGATGGACTAAAGGTTTGTATTTATAGGTGGAGAGAGGACCAAGATCCGCTTTTAGGGTTTTCTCCGGATTGATCTCGACCGTCCATCAAAGTAGAGCCGGAAGCATGTGTGACAAGTGGAAGCGTAGGAGTTCGACACATGTCGTAATCGTGACACTTGTCACGCATGCGCATCTTAACCGTGACACTTGTCACGCATGCGCATCGTAATCGTGACACTTGTCACGCATGCGCATCGTAATCGTGACACTTGTCACGCATGCACATCGTAATCGTGACACTTGTCACGCATGCACATCGAAATCGTGACACTTGTCACGCATGCAAATCTTAATGCGACATTTGTCGCCATTCCACGACACTTGTCGTCAGTATGCGACACTTGTCGCGACTCCTTGACATTTGTCGCCTTTACGCGACACTTGCCACCGTTCCGCGACACTTGTCGCCGTTACGCGACGCATGTCGCCATTCTGTGACATTTGTCGTTCGCCTTTAATGCGTATGCTCTTGCATATTCGCCACTTGTCCATGAGCGGAAAACTCGTTTAGGTTACCAATTATACATTACGGAATAACAATTCTGATATAAAACCGACGACGACTATACGACCACATAATAGAGAAATGAAATATTTCTTACATTATGAAATATTTCTTACATTCTCCCACTTGGTCGTTAGTACAGTCCATTATAGTTTTTCTAGTCAGAAAACATAAGGCCGGCGTAATATGTTATTCCTTCTCTTTTATTTGGTTATCATAAGTGTCTTAGCCAATCCGGTAATCAATGAGAGTCATGGCGGGCACATATCATTTTGCAACATGATTCCTTCCATGTACTACTGCATTGATTACTTTCATAACTAGACCATAAAGTTATCGTAATGGTCCCTTTTATGTCTTTAAGTACTGACTCATTCTGTTATCATAATTTCCAAAACAATAATGTGTACACATTGGAAAACAGAATATATATAAAAGATGTAAAAGTCATAATGAGCTCAAATAATTGTCAAATATAGGCAATACATAATCAAACAATTTAACTAACGCTATCCTCAAGACCCATACTTTCCGTATGTTTCATAAAGGTCTTAGGCGGTAATGCTTTCGTAAATATGTCTGCGACCATAAGTTCAGTGCCTATATGCTTAATGACAAACTTTTCTCTTTTAACATCTTGCTTAAGTGATAGATATTTAAGGTCCATATGTTTGGAGCCTTTGGATATCCTATCATGCTTTGAGAAGAAGATTGCGGCTTGATTGTCACAATAAAGAGTTAGAGGCTTGTCAATAAAGCTCAAAGCCCCAAACTCAGACACGAAATTCCGCAACCAGGTTCCTTGAATAGAAGCTTCATAACATGCGACATACTCAGCCTCCATGGTGGACGTGAAAATTAACTCTGACTTTTGGCTTTTCCATGATATGGCACCTCCACCAAGGAGATACGCATAGCCAAGAGTACAATGCCTAGAGTCACGGCATCCACCAAAATCTGAGTCTGAAAATCCAACCATCTGTGGATGTGTTGTTTTTCTATATGTAAGCATGAAATTTCTTGTTCCCTTTAGGTATCTCAAAACTTTCTTTGCAGCTTGCCAATGCGCGATTCCTGGGTTACTCTGAAACCTCCCGAGCATGCCCACTGCATGGCTTATATCAGGTCTAGTACAGACCTGCGCATACATCAAACTTCCCACAAGAGATGCGTAAGGATACTTCTGCATTTCGTTACGTTCCATTTCATTCTGCGGACATTGCTTAAGGTTAAGCGTGTCACCTTTATGCATAGGAACAATGCTAGAAGAACACATCATCATGCCATATCTCTCAAGAACTTTATCAATATATGCTTTCTGAGACAATCCTAAAATTCCAAGTGATCTATCACGGAATATTTCAATTCCTATCACATAGGATGCCTCTCCCATATCTTTCATTTCAAAGTTCTTTGAGAGATAACTCTTGGTCTCATGTAATAGACCAAGATCACTACTGGCCAATAATATGTCATCAACATACAGAACCAAAAATATGAACTTACTCCCACTGATCTTGAGGTATATACATGGATCTACTATGTTTTCTTTGAAACCGAATTTCGTAATGATTTCATCAAACTTTAGATACCATTGCCTCGAAGCTTGTTTCAGTCCATATATTGATTTCTTTAATTTGCAGACCATATCTTTCTGACCTTCGATTATGAAGCCTTCAGGTTGACGCATATAGACTTCTTCTTTTAAGTCTCCATTAAGAAAGGCGGTTTTTACATCCATTTGATGTAACTCGAGATCATAATGAGCTACTAATGCCATGATAATTCTGAATGAGTCTTTTCTAGACACAGGTGAAAAAGTCTCACTATAATCGATGCCTTCTTTCTGATTAAATCCCTTGGCTACAAGTCTGGCTTTATATCGTTCTACATTGCCATCACAGTCGAGTTTGGTCTTAAAGATCCACTTACACCCGACTGCTTTGTGTCCTTCAGGCAAAGGAACAATGTCCCAGACTTCATTCTTAGCCATTGAGTCTATTTCTTCTTTACTGGCATCGATCCATTTATCAGAATTAACATTTTTCATGGCCTGTGAATAGGAAACCGGATCTTTAATATTCACTTCTCCAGATTCTACTTGATAAAGCTCAAAGTCATCGGAAATAGCAGATCTCCTCGTACGAGTTGATCTTCTTAATGCTGGTTCCTCTTGAGCTTCATGATCATTATTGGCAAGATTTTCATCATGGACTGCGTGATCATTTAATGGGTTTTCCTCATTGTTCAACGGTTCAACAATGAGAGGATCCCCAGCATTCGGAAATAAGGGTAAGGGAATTTCTACCCGAATTTCCTGAATGGTTACATCACGAACTTTATCACTCCCACTAATCTCGCCACTTTCAAAAAATCTGGCATTACTGGTTTCTACTATTCGCGTACTATGGGATGGACAATAAAACCTATATCCTTTAGATTTCTCAGGGTAACCAATAAAGAAACCACTGACCGTTCTGAAATCTAATTTCTTTTCATGTGGATTATATATTCTTGCTTCAGCTGGACATCCCCAAACTTGGAGATGTAACAGACTTGGTTTCCAGCCTTTCCACAGTTCAAAAGGGGTCTTTGGAACTGCTTTGCTGGGAACTCTATTCAAGATATAGACCGCTGTACGTAATGCGTCCATCCACAAGGATATAGGTAGGTTAGCATGACTCATCATGGATCTAACCATTCCCATATATGTACGATTACGCCTTTCAGCTACACCATTCTGCCATGGAGAACCAGGCGTTGTGTACTGCGCAACGATTCCTAATTTCTGGAGGAGTATGGCAAATGGTCCAGGATGTTGTCCCGTTTCGTCATATCTGCCATAAAATTCACCACCTCTATCTGACCTTATGATTTTCACCTTTCTATCTAATTGCCTTTCAACTTCAGTAATGAATGTCTTTACGGCATCCACAGACTGAGACTTTTCATGCAATAGATAGAGATAACAATAACGTGAATAATCATC